CTGATTATACCTTGAAGATCTTTAACAGGTAAGGTCACTGATAGGTCTACTAAAATGCTTCCCTTCCATTTTGCCTATTGTGACTCCAAGACTCAGAATGATTTTTTAAGTGTTTCCTATCCAAGTTTGAGAAAAAAGCAAGAGTCAGACAAACAACTAACCAGAGATTGTTGAATGAAGTGCTTAATTGTGCATATTTATATATATATATATATATATATATATATAAATTTATATTTCTTTAAATCTTCCTTTAAATGGTCTGTTCTTTCAAAAATGTTACACAAAAGCTATTTAATAAGCTTAGCTTTAAATGTGATTTGGTGCTTTGAGATTTTAGATAATATATATTTGAGTGCAAATGATCGCTAATTTTTTACTAAGCTAGCTTACAGAAAGTCTGGCATTCCAGATAATGAGGTCATAAAGCAGACCACTCACAGAGCCCGCACAGCTGCTATCTAAACTACAGGCACTTGAGTACTTTCCTTCTGAGTAATAGCAAATATCTCAGGACAAAATAACAGTACCATAGCCCATACTCCCTCTGGGCACATGTGGACACATGTATCCCCTTACAGTCACACTATGATGGGCAGCAACTCTAGCTTATGCTTGTTTATACTCCTGATAATGACAACCATGCAACATAAATATATATAAAAATATAATAAGTGTCTTTTCAGGCACCTGGGTGGCTCAATTGGATGGGCGGCTGCCTTCAGCTCAAGTCGTGATCCCAGACTCTCGGGATCGTGTCCCTCATCGGGCTCCCAGCTCCACGGGGAGTCTGCTTCTCCCTCTGACCTTCAGCCCTCTCATGCTCTCTCTCACTGTCTTGCTCTCAAATAAATAAATAAAAATCTTTTAAAAAAATATAATAAGTGTCTTTGGAAATCTGATGAACTCTATAGCCTGAGTCATGTGATGAGTTTATAGGCAACTTAAGTAAAGTGTCTACCAGGACCAGAAGGGTTCCCACTAGGGCCCAGGTCTTCTATCTGAGCACAGAGAATCTCAGTAGCGTGGACTAGAAATATTTATAGAGACAGACCCCCTCGTGCACACGTGGCCCCAGACTCTCCCACCTGCCTGTCAGGAGCCTCCCCTGGCAGCAGTAAGTACCCGAGGGGGTGGGGGGGGGAGGAGCTCCCTTCCCTTTCAGCTCCGCTTCCAGGGAGCCTATTCAAAGGGTGCCATCTGCAGGATGGAGTGAGGACCATAAATACTTCGTTTCCCCCAAATGATGGGTGCATTTGTTTAAAATGGGTTCAAGAGCTAATAAACACAAAATATAAGGTCATGGTTTACCACATTAATTCTTCTCAGATATAATTGATATTTCTACTATTGTTTTAAATGTCTTTACATGATCTCGTGTAAGGAGAGGCAGAGGCGTATTTGTTCCAGGAGTTCACATTGCCCTCGGGCATCTCCCTGTGCACTGGAGGACTTGCTCTTCCCTGTAGAAGGGCAGCATCCCAGGGGTACAACAGGTGCTACAACTCCCTTCCTGCTTTGATTCAAGACAATTTTTTTAACTTGAATATAGAGAACGGGTGCTCAGAATTTTCTTCTCATATCAATCAGCCTCAGGTTATGGAACCATAAAATCATGACATTAAAAGAGATTCCTTCACTGAATCATGACCCTCTGTAGGACTGGCTATGAGTGAACCCCCAGCCTCGTACTCCTCACCATTTGTGATGTCCTTCCTGACTAGATCTCTTAACCAGCAACCCCAACCAACAAGCAACAAGAGAATCCCTGCTTGGGCTCTATAGCATTGATCTCTGACTCAAGAATTGTCTAATCCTGATTAAATCTACTCCTCCCCTCACAGTGGCCCTCACTTGATCGAGAACAGGAGAGAGAGAGAGAGCACACCCTTTCCTGCCTGGATCATCTCCTTTCCCACCACTTGAGCGTGATGATCACTTTGCACAGAACAAAGCAGATCTGAGGCTGCTGCCAGTCCATCTGCCTTTACCGCAATCACATTGGTTTTCCAATGTGGACTACCAATTCCAGGATGCTAGGCAGCTCCACTCCCTTCCCCAGAGTAGGGATGAGAAAACAAAACAGGACTTATTACTAGACTATGAGATTCACCTCTAAAGACTGACTTACAGGGCAATACGGCAACTTCATGGCCCCTTACTTATGTGAGCCCTCTGTTGTCCATATCTGTCCCCTTTCCAGAGGGAAAACTTTGAAAAGCATGAGCCCTTTAGAAAGTAGAACTCTCTCTCCTAAGAAAGACACCATCTTCCCTGAAAGCAGGGACAGGGAGAAGTGGATTATAGCAAGACATTACTCACTGGCAGAGCCTGGGAAAAGTTGTATGTCAAATGGAATAGCCACAGCAGCGTCTCCTCTCCACACCCCCCACTCTTGCTCTTTGTTTTGTACTCTTCATGAGCCAACTGGCACTTTGAAATGAATTTTACATTCAGGTCCCATACTTCACTAAGGAAGGGCAGCATGAAGTTAGGGTAAAAACATGACTCTGTGGTCAGACACACCTGAGCTTGAATCCTAGCAGAGCTCCTGACAAGCCAGATGGTATGGGCACAATGAAGAATTTTCTGAGCTTTAGTATTCATCTTCTATAAAACAAGGCTAATACTATCCACCACTCAGGACTGGTGGACAAATATATAATGGAAACACAGGCTCTCAAAAATGTGTCCATTCTTTCTTTAATATGAATTTAAGTGAGTATGTCTCTGCTACTGATTGGAAGGCACTGTCCCATGTGAAAGGCTTATGAGGCACCAGTAAGAAGGTAGGGGAGCAGTTGGGAGAAGGCAGGTTAGAGTCCGGGGGGCAGCCAGGCTTCCTGGGTTGTAACAACACACAAAACAACAGTGCCCTCAAGGGCCGATAACCAAGGTTGGCATTGCCTCTGAGGCTGCAGCAGGAAGAGGGCGAGGGGGCGCTGGCTGGCTCAGGGCTGTGGGATATCCTTTCTGAGTGAGGAAGGGTTGATTCACAGGAAAGCCAAGGGGCAAGAAGATCACAGCTGTGGGATGGCTCCATCCCAATAGACTGCCCCAGACACCACAACCCCACTCTCAGCAGAAAGGGAGTCCATGTGGCCCTGTACCACCCTTTGTCCCCTGACAGATAGCAGAAGCACCCAGAATGTCTGGACATTCAGATATTTTGGGTCTGTGCTATATCCAGAGGCCTATATGGCCCCTGTCTATATGACATGGGTGTGATCCAGCCCATTCTGCTGAAGGTCTTTGTAGGGATGAGGCTTGTTTTTTTTGTTCTTGTGGTGGTAGCAGAATATACATAATGTAAAACATTTTAAGTTCAGTGGCATTAAATAAATTCACACTGTTGTGCCACCACGACCAGCATCCATCTCCAGAACTCTTTATCTTATAAAGTTGAAACTCTGGATCCATTAAATAATAACTCTCTATTCCCTCCCTTGCCCCAGCCCCTAGCAACCATCATTCTTTCTGTCTCTATGAATATGACTACTCTGGGTACTTCATATAAATGGACTCGTATTTGTCCTTTCAAGACTGACTTATTTCACACAGCATAATTTCATCTGGTCACTTGGGTTACTCCCACCTTTTCGCTATTGTGAATAATGCTGCTCTGAACATGGGTATACAAGAATCTTTTCACAGCCCAGCCTTTAATTTTTCTGAGTATATATGTAGAATCAGGATTGCTGAATCATATGGTAAGTCTATGTTTAATTTTTTGAGGAAATGCCATACAGTGACTCCATCACTTTACATTCCCACCAACTGTGCATAAAGATTCTATATGAGGCTTTCTTTATTGCATGGGTTGGGTCTAATCCATCTGTATTCCCAGCTTGAGGTCACTAGTGACTCAGTCTTTCTGGCACCTGCCAGGCCTCTCACATTCCAGAACACACTTGGAGCTTCCTTAGAGATGTGGTTTGCTCCCACCACTCTCCTGTCCTCCAGCAGATCCCTTTGGTTCTTGGCAGGGGCTCACCTTTGGCATCCATGGCTCACCCACAGTTTTGTCTGGGGCTGGTAGCCTCCCGGCATGGGGGCTGGCACTCTGCACTACCCCCAGGATGACACCCACCATGAGGACTGCCCACGTGGTAGGATGGGAGCTGGGCCTGGTTACAGCTGTGGTAAATGCTAGCTCTGTCATCCTCCCCTTTGTCCCATACTGATTCCCTGAGAGATGCCCCTTCCCTGCTTCATTTTTAGGTCTTATTTCCTACTGCAACTGATCATGTCTGACAAGATAAATGGATAGAGTAGTATTTCATCTTGAAGATGAAGATGCTCAGGACCCATGGAAGAACTCCCCCAAAGAAACAAATATAAGAGATATATATAAATATATATAGAGAGAAATATAAGAGAGTTAGGATAAAATTGAGGGGCTTCAGGCTCAGAACCAAAAACCCTCTTCTATCCCTCCACCATGAAGCCAAATGGTCAAGGCCTCTCACGGCATCTTTGTGTAATTAGATAAAAATGCCCTTTTGGCATCAGGTGTACAGCTCAGCTAAAAGACAAAATATTATGCCATATTCTCTGGGCACAGTCAGCCTTGCAGAAGCAGGTGCCATCTCTTCCTCCGGATCCTGGAGGACACACAGTTCTGCAAGCAGACCTAAGGCTGATTTCCAGCTCCCACTTGCCTGTGGTGATAACCATAAGCAGTAGTTCTGGGCTGTTGATGTTCCCAATGTCAGTTCCTTCTGCCATCACCACCTTGGGGACAAGTCATTTACAGATCCTGTTGGCAGGAAGATTTTCTCTGAAGACCCGAAACTAAGGGTCTATCATGTGCCTAGTGATCCAAGAGCAGACAAGTGTCTCCTTGCATCAGGCTGGAAGGCAGCCCTGACTGGGCCCTAAACGCGATGTGCCTCAGCAAATACCAAAACCGTAGCCCTGGCCTCCCTCCCCAACTACACACACACACACACACACACACACACACACACACACACACACAACCACACACAGCTTCTCACCTGAGCCACCTCTTCGAAGTCATCGTGCCTCTTCTGCAGGGCCCGGGCTCGATGCAGCGACTTCCCCACCCCGGTGTGTTTGCTGAGAAAGGCCTCACCGTGGTTTTCAATCCAGTCCAACACCTGTTCAGAGGAGGACAGAAACAATGACTCCCTGGCAGAAGGAAAGCCATGTGACAATAGCAGCGACCGCCAGCATCCTGGAATTCCCATCCCCATCAGAAAGCAGCAGTCCAGCTGGACATATTCGGCCCACCGTGGACCCAGGGATTTCATTACTGTCATTGGTGGTGTAACGCTCCCACCCTTAACTAGAGTCAACTCATCTTCGATTGCCAGGATAGTCCCTTGTTACTCTTTCAGTTTTCCCAGCCTTGATTAGTTCATTATTTTAAACAAGCTACACAGACTGTCAGGCACTGTTAAAGTCCCTCACTAACCCGCTTGGAGTTAGTGACCCACATAAAGTCAGGCACACGGGCAGAAAATGAGGCAGTGTCAGCTCAGGGCGATTCCTAGGCCCTGACGGCTTCCTCATCCCTTACTTCCTCATAAAAATGCTCACAGCAATGTTCACAGGGACCCTGCCTCCTTGCACTCCTGGGATCCCCTCCTAATCTCGAGAGGAAAGTTGGCACTGGTTAGGCCCTACCTGGCTGCTCCAGAGAGTGGTCACCAGGACAACTGTCCTTTCTGGCTTCCTTCCACCCCTCTCCTCCAATCAGCCCCAGCCACCCAACCAAATAAATTAAGGTCTTACATCCTAAGGCCTTTAGTATCTATGGTTTCTCCTGGAAAAAAGTGGAGACCCCATGTTTTTCTAGGCTTCAGATGGACTGATTTGGCCTCGGGACATTTCCCTTGGTATTTAGAGAAGCTGGAATAGACATGGCTGGAGCAGTAGACGGATGAAGGAGGGGATGCTGAGAAGGTGAGAAAATATGTTGTCCTCAGGGGCACTGGACACGGGGAGTAGAAACCCCTTAGCAGAAGCCTTGAAATGGAAGGAGGAGACAGCCTTTAACATCTATTTTGCATTCACGCTGATGGCCCAACAAACATGTGCCTCCCAGAGTTGGCACTCAGTAAAGCAGGTGGCCACAATTAAACCAGTTAGAGTGTACAGCCACACACCTGCTAGAGATCCTGCCAAGACAACTGAGCCCACTCTATTCTGGCTATTCTGGAGTTAATCTGAACATTTGGTTAATGATATGCTAGACTTCTCAGGTTCTAGAAGGACTTTCTGGAAAAAATGATCTAGATGAAACAAGCCTGTTTTAAAGCATGCTTAAGGGGGGTCCCGGGTGCTCCATCGGTTGGGCACCTACTTTCAGCTTAGGTCATGATCTCAGTGTCCTGAGAGTCTGCTTCTTGTCTCCCTCTCCCCCACCCCCCCAACTCTTGCATGTGTACATTCTCTCTCTCTCAAATAAATAAATAAATTCTTTAAGTAAGTAAGTAAATAAATAAAAGGATGCTTTAGTCCATTCTTCTGTTTCTTCTACAGACTACCCCATGGCAAGCAGATAGACCAAATAATCCCATGAAGTACAGGCATGGGAGTTCTGTCTCCAGAGAATCTAGTCTTTGGCTTCACTTTCTTTAACATTTGAAATAAATTACACCTGCAATTGCACAAAGTATGGAAGGCTTCAAAGTCTCAGGACACTACCACAAGGCCCACAACAAGATGGATATTAGGTCAGAGAAATGTATGCAGGAATATAAAAACGAGATTTAACAAACATCCATTTAACAAAACTGGAATGTCAGACAATTGCCCATTAAAAAGGAGAAAAGAAAGGCTTTTTAGAAAATGACTATATAAACACTGGGTGTAGAGATTTAAATATTTTATATAACAAATTCTGGCAATATATGTTTTTAATATTCTAGAAGCATGTCTATGAAAAGAAATTGCAGTAGTAAATGAACTGGGTTTTTACCTTTTGCAAACACTGAAAGGCAGCACTGAAAGTAAATCTAAATATCCCTTTCCTCGAAGAAAGGAGAGCCCACATCTCTCTAGAATTATGTATGGGAGAATTTCAGCAATAACAACAAAAATCAGGAGAGTGCATTTTTACTTGACTTGACACAACGTGAACCCACAATTTTCTATTGTAAAGAGGATGATGAACAACAGCACGCAAGGTCAAAGAGAAATATTTCTAGTCACAAAGTTTTCCATGTCTTACATACCATTGAAAGTGCAGTTTTATAATCTTTATGCATATTTAAACTTTTGTTAATCCCATGAAGTGAAGCTTATGGATAATTTTGATAATTTTTATATATTAAACTTATGTTAATCCCATGAAGTGAAGTTTATGGATAATTTTGATAATTTTTTTTAGGATTTTATTTATTTGACAGAGAGAGAGAGATCATAAGTAGTCAGAGAGGCAGGCAGAGCGGGAGGGGAAGCAGGCTCCCCGCTGAGCAGAGAGCCCGATTCGGGGCTCGATCCCAGGACCCTGAGATCATGACCTGAGCTGAAGGCAGAGGCTCAACCCACTGAGCCACCCAGGCACCCCAATTTTGATAATTTTTATATGTAAAAGGGCTGTCTTGTGGCTTTTGATGATTTCTTCAGAATTTATGACAGATTTTCAAATTACAATTTTGGTTTTTTAGGTGTGAGCAGTTAAGTGTGACCTGCTTGTCTGGCAATGTTTTAATGAGTTTATTTTATTTCACTTCATTTTGTATCTCTAGTTTTAATAAAATTTGTTATGCTAAAACAAATGGGTTTAAGAGGAAAGATTTCCATCTACTGGTTCACAAATGGTTAGCTTTTATACTCCCCAGGGGTAATTTCACAACTTGTAAACTTCTCTCAAAAAGCAATTTGTGTTCTATTTAAGTTCTTTTGCTTTCTTTAAAATGTCAATTCATTGTCAGTTAATGACACTTAAGTTGACTTAATTAGCTCTACCTTAACCTCTTAAAAATCTATTATTCATATTTGATAGATTTTTATTAGCTTAAACATAAATTTGATTGCTCTGTGATTTTATATTGTCCCCATCCAGTCCAGCTTCTGTCATCAGAACCGAAGCTGTGGGGAACCCATGAGCAAGCTCCGTGAAGACGCAGAGACGGCACGGAAATCAGTTTAACAAATAAAACGGCAAGTGATTTAGCATGTGAACAAAATTACTTTAATAATCCATAGAGACTGAAAAAGTACCCGAGGATAGAGAAACATAATCACTATAGGAGGTATTGTTTAAAATGCTGATTTCTGATCATTTTTTTAAAAAAGACCTTATTTATTTGACAGAGAGAGAGAGAAAGCACAAGTAGGCAGAGAGGCAGGCAAAGAGAGAGGGGGAAGCAGGCTCCCTGCAGAGCAGAGAGCCCGATGCGGGGCTTGATCCCAGGACCCTGAGATCATGACCTGAGCTGAAGGCAGAGGCTTAACCCACTGAGCCACCCAGGCTCCCCATGATTTCTGGCCATTTTGTGTTGGACAGTTCAGTTGGAGCCAGCCTTATCCGACACACATTTAGACCCCATGCTCTCTTGACCCTGATTCCATGTCCCCCAGTTCTGGGAGTACAATCTAGCTTTGCCCCAGAGAAATGTGCTTTCTGAGCAGACACCAACAGTGTCTGATAATTACATCACACCCTGCAAATTAACATGCAGCACTGGAAAGCAGGCTATCCCACAGTTTCTGGTGTATCCCAGACTCGGGACATCACTGGTTGAAGACTAAATTGCATTTCTAGCCAAATCCCTGGAACTCTACTGAACTATGCATCCACCAAGGCACCCCACACTAGCTACCCCTGTTTAATTCTCTCATCTACAAAATTTTATTTAAAATAATAAAAAATATAAATATATTATATTTATATATTTATTTTATATTATATTTATATATTTTTATATATAAAATATAAAAAATAATAAAAAATATAAATAAAATAATAAAAAAATAAAATTTAAAAATTTTATTTAAAACAATTTTAGTCAAGATAGGCCAGGAGGATAGTTAGTAATACCTATGAAGGGCTTTGAATTGGTTTTCAAGTGTTTCCAACATAGAAGGTTTTACTTTTTAGTTTGTGCCTGCGGGTTCTTCATGGAGCAAAGAAGCACATGGGGGATGTGAATGTCACTGGATTCAGACAGATACTTATTAGTCTTATTGTGCCCCAGTGCTGGGCCCCAGAACAGCCCAGGATGCAGTATTAAACAAGGCAGGCAGAGCCTTGACTCTGGGAACCTAGTCTATGGTGGGAACAGGCACCGCACAGGAGATCACACAAATGGTCATCAGTTGCAGTGGTGAAAGGGTCAACAATCAGGGAAGGCCTCTCTGAAGAAGTGAGGGTGTAGCTGAGCGCTGAATAGGACTTAACCAAGAGGAGGACTTAACCAAGCTAGGAAGGAAAAACATCAGCATGGCCTAAGTAGTGGTAAGCGAGTGATGAGCCCAGAGAGGGCAGGAACCAGATATGCTGAGCCCTGGTGTGCCCAGTCAGATTCCAGGGCTCGTCCTAAAGGCCACTGAAGGGCTGGTGCAAGAATAAAGACCTGAATTTAAAAGTTACTACTTTTGGCGCCTGGGTGGCTCAGTGGGTTAAAAGTTACTACTTTTGCTTTGTGGAGAATCAGAGGGAGGCAAGAGTAGAGGTGGGGAAATGGGATGTTATTGCAGAAATCCTGACAGGAGGCGATGGTGGCTCAGATGAGCCCAAAGGCAGTGTCCGTGGGTAATATTTGGGGGAGAGAATGGCCAGGTTTGGTGGTTAGGTATGGGGGCCATAGTGGGGCAGTGGAAGGCTGACCCCCCGGGGCACAGCTTGAATAACTGTGCGGAAGGAGGATCTGGTCACTGGTGCAGAAGCAAATGAGTTATGAGGGACAGCACAGAGATAACAGATTCTTCTGTTTTCTTTCCATTTTCATACTTGCGCTCTGGTTCTGATAAATGACAGTTATGCCTGTGAACTTGAGTGGGAAGTAGCACCCAGTGATAGTTGTCAATCTGATTCTGGCAAGATGTATCTTTAGTTTCAAAGAAGCAATTTTATACATTTGGGTTTAAAAATAAGTTATAAGGTGCTAATATAGTTGGATCCTAAAATTAACAAAATAGGGACACC